TTGTCTTTTGCTCGAGTGACCGCTCTTAGTCCTCTACACCGGATTAAAAATGTAATTTAAAATCGGGTCTCAGAACTGCGCTCTTTTTCATCCGTTCAAATCAGACTGCTACCCCCTTCTTCCTTTTTTTCTTCTTCTAAAGCGGCGTACGTCTACGTCTTCGTTGAATGGGAATAAGTTTTTGTAGTCGCTCACAGTATCGTCCTTCCAGAGCATTCCAGAAATTTTTGCACTCCTCTGAAATTTATCGTAGGCGGGCCTTGTGCCCAGCCAATCCTCTGATATTGTACTTTTTTAGCGGCTTTGCAGTATGTAGGGAAGGCGCTGCGGCCCTCATAAGTAGCAGTACTGATGCCTCCGTCCGTTCTGTAGTTGTCGTTTGGACAACTGGTAAAGTAGCGCTACTAGGAAGGTCCTTAGGGTATTCTGAATTTTTTTGTTTTCTTCTTATCTAGAGACCCTTAGCCACGGCTCGCCATCGTTGTGATGATCACAACAGTGGGGGGAGGTCGTATTTGACCTCGAGGATTGGAGGGGGTCAGGGCACTTTTGAAGTGAGGGTGCAGCGATACCCAGATGTCGTTCAGCTTCAATGATAAAAGACTTATCCATGTGAAGAACCCCTGAAGAGACACACACAAGACAGAAGCAACCTGCCAGCGCAGAAGTGGGGAACGGGCGATGACAGGAAATACGATGGCCGCCCACAACGACGTCATGAATTAATAAACAGATGAAAATACACTTCCGGACCTTTCTGATCGCAGGAGCACATCTGCTTGCACGGAGGAAGCCCTATCTAGAAGTTGCACCTTCCCAATACCTCTGCGTGAGAGCCCTGTGCATGACGCATTGTGAACTATTTCCTGATACCCTTGGCGAAAACATGTGTTCTAGAAGCATACCAAAGTCTTCAAACGAACTGGAAGTGGTATGGCGTCGGAGGGGTGGGTTTTTCGTGTTGTTGGAAAGGGGTTGCGTAATGATCACAACGGGGGATTTTTTTCGAATAGCAGGCCTAGGGATAAAATGAAAGTACTGCTAGAAAGTAGAGACCTTCGAAATTCCGGCACTGTTTTATTCCTTACGAATGGCCTTGTAAGGAGCTTGTTGTGGCTGACAAAGCGTAGGGTCTTGTAAGTGGAAGCTCAAGGATCACAACGGGATCACAACGGAGAAAAATCCTTGAAAAGATTCTTTTCGAAATCGCTCGAACTCAGGTAAGTAAGTGCCAGCCTAGTGCTCCACAATCCTGCTTTCTCGTCTACAAAAGCCCCACCCTCACAGAACTTATGGGTGTTCAAAATAAGGGTAATTTCGGAGGGCTTGGCTTGAGACTGCATCCGAACCGTGAAACAATCGTAAGCGCGCTCACGGAGGTTTGTGAATGACCGCGAACAATAAATATGTATTCAATTGCTGTCACCTGCATTTTCTTCTTTCCCTGAGTATTTTAATGCTCATTGATAATTTATTACTTATTGGCCATATTTTTGAGGGCTTATTACTTCCTAATTTATTTGTGTTTTGTTATGGCTTATTTTCATCGCGTTTCTCATATTTATCCTTGATTATCGTCGCGTCATTTTCTGTCGATTATTTTTGCAGATCTTTCATTTTTCGGTAGTTGTTTGCCCATCTGCTACCAGATTAGCAGCGGCCAAGTGGGGTGTCGTATCGAGACCCTTTTGAGAGGGGGGGGGGGTCGTATTTAGCGGAAATTGATAGCGCGATGGCGTGCCCTGCTCTTAGCATCTACGGGTTTGCTTCTTTACATTTAATTGTGTATTGCAATATGCTGAAAATAATGAGTGAAAGTGATATGAAATGAGAGTGGTAAGTCTATACACAAACGTTTATTTTTCCACTATTATAGACTGTCTTCCGTGGTCATGAGCGAAGCGTGGAGTGTGTAGATGTTAATCCTGAGTGCACTCGTCTGGTCTCTGGTGCATTTGACTCGAATATCAAAGTTTGGAATCTCGAAAAGGGTGAGTCTCCTTATATCTGCTTCTATGTTCCTAATTAGGTGGTGTGATTCAGACTTGAGGACTTCTATAGTTGAAGGTGCCCTGACGCTGGGCGGCTCAATCCGTTACACAGCAGAGACGGAGCCGCACTTTCTTTTCTGCGCATTTAAAGACCGGGTTTGGAGAGGAGAAGGGATCTCTTAAAGACAGCTCTCGCGATAAAAGTATCATGAGTAGTTGCGTTTCTATTATGAAACATCAGCTGGTAAGTAATTCACCAACGAAGAAAAAAGCAAGAAGAGTCCTCGAGAACACCATAAACAAAACTGCTCCCCGACACTCACACGCGCTGCGGTCTATGCAACCCCTGGCACACAAATCCCTTTATCACATCTCCTAGTAGTGGATATCATTCAATGCAAAGAAAAGAATGTGAAAAACAACAAAAACACGGTAGAAAAACTCTCGAAAAGGAAGCTTTAAAAAACACGGCGTCCGAATTTAGGGTTACGGTAGCGTGCATCTTTTAGTGTAGTTTGGTGCGTCGAGCTTTTGCACCACGAAAATTGGGTCGCTCGTGATTTTTAGGCGTTTTACCTTGCGAAATGGTTGAGTTGGCTGATATGCTCCTCATGAATGAAATTTTAAAAAAGAGCAGAATCATTCATGGGCACGAGCGCGGATACCAAAAATGACATGCAATTCCGATTAATGCCCGCCGCCCCAACAAAGAACAACTGAGCGGCCCTCCGTCAGAGGGCATCTAGCAAGTGGGCGGTCCAACTGGGCGGGCGTTAGAACTAGAACTTTCAGCGGCTGTAGCTCGCTCCTCGCTCGCTGTGGAGTCGCGAGAGTGGGACAGTCTCTAGCTTGGGGGCTGTACTACTTGCACAAGGAAGGACGACCATGTACTACTCGAGCGCGGGGGCTGTCTTTAAACTGAGAATCGAGCGCATTGCTGTGGGACTATCTGAACTGTGGTAGTGCCAGAATGTGCGATAGGTTTCTTCATTGTGTGCAACGTTTACATCCTCAGGCGATGAGTCAACAGTTTTCGAAAAAGATGCAAATAACGATAACAGGCCGAAGAAACGGAAAGAAAATTTCATCACGAAGGTAAAATTATTTTCGAACATAAGAGATGCCGAAACCAAAAGTATTTTTGAAGGTTCCAATGGTAACGTTAGCTGGCCACAAAGATGCCGTAGTAGGATTAAAGTGGTGCTCCTATAATAACAGTCAAGTGATATCTGCTTCGTGGGATCACAGCATTGCTGTATGGGATCTGCAATTGGGTGAGTTCATATATTGATTTCTCCTCTCTTTCGCTTCTGTTCGCTGTTTTCTTCCTTTTTTGAACATCACTGTTCTGGCCTTTCTGAATTTAAATATTTTGGAAGTTATTCTGTTCAGCTGGCGAAGTGTCGCGAATTCGTGGATTGAAGGCCTTCACGAGCATAGATGTGAATCGTAAAACAGGTTTAGTCATCAGTAGTAGCACGGACGCTGTTCCACGACTATATGATCCTCGAAGTCATGGTGAGCGTGTTCTTCCTTACGAGCGTTTTTTGCTCAATGACAAGCTTTGAACTCACTTCCTAGGGCGGTTCTTTTCATGTGCGAGGTGAATGGGTCCGTAGCCAATGGAGCATTCTTCTTTTCCGCTCAAAAGTGCAGGACCAGGGCCGAAAGGTTGTGGTATTCCGATGGCCGTCTCCCCGAATCTGCCCACGCTATCTCCAAGATGCAGCACTTAGGTAAAAATCAGAATCCCGCAGCGAATGCAATGAATGAATGAATGAGGTAGGGAACCACAAGAAGTGAGAGGGAGGCGCAGAAAATAACGTGTTTGGCTATGGTTAGGCGTGGCTGGAATTACGGCAGCGCTGACGAAATCGAGAAACGACATCCGCGTCTCTCGAGTCCTCCAAGCGCTGCGGTAAAGCCACTACTTTTTTGTTCATGGGCACTTTCGAGCGGAGTAACTCGTACAATACCCACCCGGAGGTGAAAACCGAATTTGTTTTCAATAGTGCCGAATCATGGCACACACATGTAATCTTGTGTTCATCCTCACGTTTACTTCCAACTCGATCTCCAACCCGTTTTGACTGCATGCACTCTTGACTACATGCACTGGTTCATGTAAGCACAGTGTGACCCTTCTGGCAGTTACATCTTTTCTCTGGTTGATTTTCCCTGATTTCATCATTGCAAGTGGTGTCCAATGCGCGGTGTTTGCACGAGGACCATGCATTAATTGATCCAAGGGAGTAGTGCTGCATGACGAGTCAACTAGCTAGAAAATACGAGCTGGCCTGTGCGCGACGCCGAAGCTTGGTTTTCCGCCCATCTCGCTTCGTGAAAGCTAATCTGGTCTCATCACTATGTTTCTTCCTTTAGTAGCAAGATGTCTCACGAATCCGAAATGACCTATTGATTCAAATATCTGTCTAATAGTATTATTGCTATTTGTATTTAAGATGGCTCTCTCGTCAAGCAGTCTTTTATTGGTCACACGGGTTGGGTGTCGTGCGTAAGGTGGAATCCCTGCGATGAAAAGTGTTTTGTGAGCTCATCATTTGACAAGTCTGTGAAGATGTGGGATATACGGTAAGTCGCACATTACTGAGGTTCTATTTTGACATTTTGGGGTTTAAAGAATTTACAGTTTCTCAGTTACTCAAAGTAAAAAATGCTTTGTTCACCTTGTACTCTCGTTTTTTTTTCAAAACACCTCGTATTTATCGAGCTTTGCTCTTCGACGGTTCGGTCTGAGCATGCCTTAGAACTATAGACTACGCTAGAAGGATAAAGTCTTAGCCATTAGTTAATTCCTTTTTGGGATGCGGCTTGCATTTTACTTCCATTCAGAATTGTAGAGATTTATTGAATGCAGGTAATCAATACAATGGATTGCGAGGACCAGCCGGTGTACAAGTCACTGTTCTTGTCTTCTTAGACAAATCTGATGCCAATTTACTGTTCCCGTTGAAGGGTAGAAGGCTGGCTGGCTGGGCGACAAAAACCGCTCTCGCGGAATTTGATCCATGGACCGTGCGCATGGTTTAGATCGTGCCGATTTTGCCGTACGCCGCCTCCGCCCTAACACTAGGACTAAAGCTTTGTAAAATCAACTGCGAAATTCGAAATCACTGCAGTTGTTTTTCGTAAAAGTGTTCATTCAGATCAGCACTATTTATAGCTCCTGAAGGCTCATTACTTTACTTGCAAGGACAGCCGTGGTGAAGTTTGGGTCAAAATTTCGAACGCAGCGAATACTTCTTGTTTCCAAGGGGGAAAAAAAAATCTGACGGCTCCCAGCGCAAATATCGCTTCGCAGTTAACAACAAACACATTGCATAGCAGTGGCGGACAGGCATTCTCGCTTCTTGTGGATTGGGTAGTCATTTTCAAGGTGTCAAACTTTTCTATGGGAGGAAACAAGGTTCGGCTAAATCCTACACACGCCACCCCGGGAAGACGGATAGGACAATGGCAAGCTTGTCCGCACCGCGTGCGCGGCGCATGGGGAGGGGGATGCGCGGAAAATCCTCGATGTGCATCACTTTGGATTGAAGCAACGAACCGCATATGAGATCAAGCGGAGACAAGGCGAGCGGTACTGAACTCTCTCTCCTTTCAACGCCCAGATTTATATGGCCAGACAGGACAACTCGTCTGTCAGGCGCGGCGTCGCTCGACACGCCCAACAGCGCGGCATATCACGATTATCTTGCCGTATACCCCCCCCCCCCTCCTCCCCTTCCCAACCCTGAGGAAATTGCGACAAAATCTGGCCTAGGTTACAAAAAAATTACAATGATTGGGCATAATTGTTTGTTTACCTATACATTAGAATCTTTCAGATCGTCGAAAACGTCATTGTTTGATTTACACGGCCACGATGATCGTGTGTTATGTTGTGCGTGGGGTGAAAATAGCTTCATCGCAAGTGGATCAGCTGATGCCACTGTGAAAGTATTTTCTACGGCGTAGAAGCGTTTCTCATTGTGAAGCCTTTTGTTCAACTTATCTCACCTTGTGTCAATCCTCGGAAGTTATTGAAGTCCTGTGAGGTGCTTGGTTCCATCCCGCTAGACAATTTGCTATTTTAGATATATTGTATCAAATGTTGTTGACAGTGAAGTTGTTTATGTTTTGTTGTTGAGAACTCTAGAATAAAGAATTTATAATATCCCTTCACTTTTTTGTTTATGGTTATTATCCTCATACAATGAATCTGTCTCTTCAGCTTAGCCTTAATTCGTTTTTTTCTTTTCAAACTACGTTCCATTACAGAAGTGTTTGTCACCTGATCGTTCGTTACAGCACTCAAAGCCAAGATGGGGAAGGGTTTCCAAAATTTCATGTCCAAAAAGGACTTCCATCCAAGTGCTTGGTGGAATTTAAAAAGAGTTAGTTGTCCTCTGTCAATGGTAGAGCAGCGCTCTCAATCCTTCTTGCTTTAGGTCTGGGAAGTTCGGCAACAAAAAGCAATTGATGACAAACGACAGGAGGATCTCCGTGTTCAGTATGAAAAGGAACAAGAAATGCTCAATAATAAGTTTGTTTTTTCGCTTTTTCGCTTTGAGTAGCTTCCGTTCTTTTTCCACAGGA